GCCCGGAGTCACCGCATTTGAACCTCCGTGGCCACAAGGGGATTTTTATTTCTCCTTGGATTTGAACCTGGGACCTCCTGGTACTTTTGACCTTTGGAGCCAAGCTCAAACCAATCAGACACCACCCTTGTGGTTGCGTGATAAGATTTTAGTACATCAAAGCAAGATTTTATCGATTTTGTTACAAAGACAAACAATCTAAGGAAGGTAGGGATTCAAGTGATCTTCATGATCTCCCTCCAACCTGGATTTTGGTTTAATCAAGTAATGACGAAACGATCTATTACAAAAGAAGTAGTGGTAAATTCAGACTAAATAAAGTCCTTTACAAAAGAAATTAAGTTTAAGATGCCTTCCAAAGTGGCACTCGTCAAAGATTTCTTCGTCGAGAGTGGGTCATGCTAAAGCGAGGTACTCTCTTTAATCTTAGTAAGATAAAGTAAGAATAAGATTCTTGCACGCGATTTTGGGTTTGTCTCAACCGAGTTGAGCGTAATAGGATTAGGGACTTAGAGGCATGGGTTGGGATTATTCATAGCGAATGAGTTTAAATAGAGATGTAAGTAGCAAAGTCTTTGCTCACCTAAAAACGTTACTAGTTGATAAGATAATTAAAGCTAAATTGATTAATAATTAGAATATGGATTTCGATCCACGATAAGTGTATAGAATTATACACTTTAGCACCTAATTAGGACTTTATTTTACTTCATTTTAATTCTTCCCAATCACATATTCAGTCTTTTTATTCTTATTTTATGGTTTAAGATTATTTGGAGTTAGGTTGGAATTTGGTAACGTTCTATGTAATTGTGGAAAATGTGTTAACAAAACTGTTGTTGCAGCCGGTTTTGCCACAGCAACAGAAGTTGGACGACTTCATGATCAACCTTGAAGATATTTTTGACGCTCAACTTTTGAATGGAGCATCTTTTGGAAGTAATCAGCATGCTTTTGGAAGATTTGATTTTGTCGATGGAAGGATTACCTTTGTACTTAACTACTAGTTTACAGGTTGACTTTTGTATCGGGTATTAACCCTTTGAAAATATATGTCCCCTTATACTTTCTTTATTGTCCTCTAGTCCCCCTTAGTGCTATATATGTGAGGGTGGATGTTTATGTCTAAGGCTGAGACAAAGCTTCTTACAAGCTTTGCTTTCTAGCAACTTAATACTTTTTGCAACTTTTAGTGTTCGAGTGTTCTTTATTTCTGTCAGTTGGTACAACAACACCTACAACTTCCACTGTACAATTTTTTGCACGTTTACTTTTCAACAACTTATTTTCATGTCATTTACTTTCAAGTCTTTTACATTCATCTCAGTAATAACGGACTAAACACCCTAGCTTGGGTAGGAGTGAAGGTTGGAAGAATAAACCTGGTGTTCGTGGATAATTACTTTTGCCACAGTAATCTACTCCACTATTCATCATTGGGATTAATATTTCACCTATTAATCTTTGACAATTTGACATTGTTTCAATAGGTAGTGTCAAATTGATTATGGATAGTAATAACACTATTCATCCCAATCTTACTATCGTTGGGATTAATATTTCACCTAGTAATCTTTGCAAGTTGACAAATGTTATTTTACTCAGATGAGTTGGAACTAAAATTAAGCTAAAGTAAATGTTTTAACCAATAGTGTTATAGAGGCTATAAGAGTTGTAGCAACCTGCATAGGTTGAAAACTATATGGAAAGAAATGTAAGATTTGTATTAAGCTTTAATTTGTGCTCACTTTGAGTACTGCCAGCAAAGATTCTAATCCGAACTTCAAAAGAAGTCCACTTAATCCAGTAGTATTGCAGAGAACTATTGCTACAGCAACCTCAAGTTATGTTATAGCAAGATTCTTCATACTCTGATGTTGAAATTCTAGCCTGGTCTTACACACATGCTTTCTTTTATTTACTGTTCTTTTTATAGTAGTTAGTTAATTCACCATCCAAAATATTGCTTCACATTCACCATCTGAAATCATCTTTTAAGTTTCACTTTCACCTTCCTTGAGTTTATTTGTCCATGAGGTATGATACTTGGTAATTCTTACCATCATTACTTGTTTTGTATGATACTATTGAGTCATGTTTACTGGTTGCTATCACCTTTTGGGTTTATATTTTCCACATGCTAGTCCACTAGAAAGCTTATGAAGTTTTTCCAAAACTATAAGAGAAGGTTATTGTTTTGCATAAAATAGTGGGAGCTTGTTTTATAGAAGTCCTTGTTAAACAAAAACAAATTCATGACACTAAAACTCTTGCATTTCTATTGTTATCATCAATGGCACAAACGAACATTCCTATGAAAAACCCTTTGCGATCAATCCTTGAGAAGGAAAACTTAAATGGAACAAATTTCATCAATTGGTATCGAAACTTGAGGATTGTCCTCAAAGGTGAAAAGAAACTTTACATCCTTGAAGAGGCTACTTCTGGTGATCCTATATCTGAAAGAGATTCTTTTAGAAAGCATGATGAAGATGCTTGGTACGGCTCATGTTTGATGTTAATTGCCATGGAACCTGCATTTCAGAAGCAACATGAAACCATGGGGGGCTTCGATATGATCAAACACCTAAAATAGTTATTTCAAGAGCAAACTAGACATAAGAGGTATTAAGCATCCAAGGAATTGTTCCATTGTAGAATGATTAAACGTAGTCATGTTGGACCTCACATGCTTAAGATGATTGGGCATATTGAGATGCTTGAAGGACTAGTTTTCCCTTTACGAAAAAGTTGGCCATTGATGTAATTTATTAAGCATTTCCAAAAAGATACAGTCAATTCATGATGAACTACAACATGCATGACTTAGATAAATCTCTCCCAAAATTTCTCAACATGTTACGAACAACCCATCAAGAGGTTGCAAAGAACAGGTCCACCATATTGGTGGTACATAAGGACAAAAAGCAAGAAGGTAGAGGAAAGTCCATTGCCAAATTCGCCTCTAAATCTTTGAAGCCAAAAGGAAGCATTGGGAAGAAATCCAAGGTAAGTATACTAAAGGAGGGTGACTGTTTTCATTTTTACAAACTTGGGGATTGGAGGAGGAACTGGCCTTTCTATCTTCAAAAAAAGAAGAAGGGAAGTGCAACTTCGACTTCATGTATCTATGTTATGAAAGCTAACCGTTCTAGTTCTTATACATAATGGGTATTGGATACTAGATGTGGTTCTCATGTTTGTAGAAATATGCAGACCTTAACAAGCGCGATTCATGGATGGGTTTGAGATTGGTGATTAAGGGTCCAGATCCATTCTCATGTTTCTCACCTTAACTCTATTTTTTACACAATCATATATATATATATATATATTGTTTGGCAGTTGCTTAATGGTTTGGTACAAAATGATTAAATGGTCAGAATGATTCAGAGACTCTAATGATATAGTGCAAAATTAAATATAATTGTTTGGTAATTGTTTACAATGAAATTAGGACGTTGAATGATTAAGGGATGCTCATGATACAAAATCATTCAGAGGGTTTTAGAACCATTAAGAAGCAGACTTTTTTTTGCTAAACAAGATTCACCTCTTAACGATTCAGATGCTGCCTCTTAATGAAACTATTAAAAGGTAAACAAACAAATATAGAGAGTGAATTACATTGATCGTCTATATAGTGCATCTACATTGATGGTACCTAAATTTTTTATTTCATAAAATTCAAGGTTTATGGAATTCACATTGTTTGTTAATAATCATTATGAGCGTTTAATCAGTTTTTAACAAATTATAGGAACTAAAAGTGTAAATCACTCTAAAACTTAGGGCGCGTTTGGTTTGAGGGATTTGGAGGGATTTGGATTTGAAATTCATTCCAATCCTACGTTTGGTTTGTAGAAATGGTCGGATTTCAAATCCCGGGATTCATTTGAAATCCCACCAACACTGGATTTGAGAATCCTTCGCCCTTACACGGGATTTGAAATCCATTCTCGTGGATTTCATCGTTGTCTCCCTCTCATCGCTTCAATCCTTCTCATCGCTTCAATCCTTCTCATCGCTGTCTCCTTCTCATCGCCGTCTCCTTCTCATCGTCGTCTCCTCCGTCTCCGTTGCCACCGTCGTCGCCCTTCGTCTCCGTTGCCACCGTCGCCGTCGCCCTTCGTCTCCGTTGCCACCGCCGTCGCCCTTCGTCTCCGTTGCTCACCGTCG